TTCTAAATCTTCCTAAATGCATTCACCTTGGTATTCGAGTAATGATCAATCTCATACAAAGTAATGAAAATTGCATGGCCTGTGGCGACTACTGTACAACAGTTCGACCGTCGGTTTGGACGATATACACGGCGTACTTCACGGTAGGCCTAAAGCAAACGCAGTGACTTGCATGTGAATTAAATTGTAATGAGAGTAGACTTGCGCTACATCTGCTTACCGTCTTCCTCTTCTGCTTCCCTGCTCACCAGTGTAATGACCAAGTCAGGGAGCCGAGAGGTTAGGGAGCACGCAGATTGCTGGCGCGTCCGGAGTCTTCCCTAAGCGCAGACCGAGTTACTCAGTCAGCTGGCAGCCTTACAAACTACGACTTTTAGTGCTTTATAAGGGATTTGAATAAGCACTCAAGCCATACCCGGAGACTACGTACTTTGAGCGTTCAATACAGGAGGCGCGCTGTCGCGTCAAACGTCTAAGCCTGTGTCAAGCAGTAGCGACCTAATGTCACGTCAGTCGCTGTGCTCCATCGCATATGCGGTCCACTTGATTCTGATTTATAATGGTGTACGATGGGAAAAGGAGGCAGACCCAGCATGTGTCTTCCCGGTACAACACCACGTAGTGTGCATTTGTGCTGTCAGAACACGCGAAAAGTTGTGGTCTGGAAGGCTGTCGACTGACCTAATAACTGGATTCTCTAACCCGACAGGGAGGCTGCAGTGGTTCCCCTCTCCCTCTGTTGTACTCTTTGTGCCAAATCTGACCGTAACCATATCTTCCGGTGTGAGACCGGCTTCATTCCGATCAAAAGACCCTGTGTAACTGGAGGCTCTATGTCAGTGCAGCTGAGGCGTCCACAATTAGCCGTTGTACAGTTGGAAGGTCGTGCAGATTTGGGGAAAAGGTGTGATGGATGCCGCGCGGGCTTCTCCCACCCTAGAAGCAAGGAAGCGAGTTTCTTCTCTACGTTTCTGATCCTCGCTCAAATTCCCATTATCAGAGGTAGATGGTGGACGCTAGAAGGAATCAGAAACGTCAGGCTAATAAACCTTTCTTTTTCGCGATCGCATTTTCCACCGTATCACATACAAGTGTCTACCGATGTTTCAAGACAGTAGGAATGAGTTGTCGATGCCGACAGACTACGCATACGTTTGTCGGAAAGGTCAAAGCCTTTATGTTTCTAGATATCTTCAATAAACTGAGTGTCTTCTGCACGCATGTCCATTTTAGCATGCTTAACCAAGATTGCGATCATCCCCTCCTCTTTTACCTTCGTTGGATGTCAACTCGCTCTTCCTGTGCATGCTTGCCCAGCCCCCCCCTCTCTCTCCATACATCACTATGTCCATATACCGACTGTTTTACTCTCCTATTCACAGAATGACTCCGAAGGCACCCACCACTGGCGTGAGGGCAATCTCCGCTCCAACACAAAGTGTGGCCTCTGCAAAAAGCCCTGCGCCTCCTCCGAATGCCTCACCGGCTTTCGGTGTCTTTGGTGCGGAACCACGGTAAGCTGGGGACGACAAATGCATTCTTTGAACAAGGCGAGGATCACGAGACTAGCCGAATTTATTGACGTCATCTAGTTTTGCGAGCTCTTGTTCAACTGAAAACTGCCATTGTTTATTGCTGCCCATTAATAGACAATGACAGTCTGGAGTTGGATAGGAGGTCGCGAACTTATATGACGTCAGCAAAGTTTGCTAGTCTCGTGATCTTTGCCTTGTTCAAATTTATTCCGGGAAAACAATGTTTCAAAATGCATTCGTAGTTCGTCCTTCCATTCCCCCTCCTCCCCGGTAATTTGTGATCGTGTTACTGGACGATGTGCAACTCTAACACAGCTGTTTTGCGTATGACCTCGCTTGTAGGAGGTAAAGGGGGCAGCAAATCCGTCTGCTGGTCATATCCTGTCCATAAATTTCATTTTTAGTTCATTTTTTGGTCAACCAACATCTGACCGTCTGTTACTTTATCCTGCATTCATGCCTAAGTCCGTACTTATTCCCACGGGCTGAGCAATCAGTCAGACTGTTCGGATGCTTTTTTGAGGTCTTCTTTTCCGATGACGTCCACTTCCTTCTGTCTGAGCGTCTTAAATTTCCTATTTTTTTTCTGTTACTTCCAAAAGAAACTTTCTGATCGCTGATAGGATGAGAAACATTGCCCCATGAATTGGCGTTTGTCTATATGTATGTTAACTTTGCGCTAGAAGTTGCTCCGTTCGACCTCACTGGCACTCAGCCCTTCTCATCTGAGACCATGTGCTCTTTCTTCCCGACCATCCATTCTCTTTAAGGGTAACTTGATGCAGGTGAAAGCCCTAACCGCTAGAATTATTGGTAGCGCTGTTGAGCCAGTCCCATAGCGGAGGAGCAAGGACAAAAACTAGGGGGATTGGGGCTTTCATTTCTGGCGTACTAGCTGTCGTCAGCCAGCCATACACAATCCTACCTTTAGACCATCTGGAATTTGAACTCAGGTTCCTTGATTATTGAGTGTTTGGAATTTGGAATTTATATTTGTTAGCGCCAGGAAGCACTATCTAAACAAACTTAGTTTCGGTATAAAGTTATGACAATGTGCGCAGATCAACGGTACAAATTTGTAATAATGTTAGCAGAAATTTTTATTTTAGGTCAGTAGTTAGCGGTCTTTTGCAATTAGTAGAAAATAGGCAGTGAAGAAAAACTCCTACAATGAGAACAGGCTGAGTTCAATGAGCCTCCATTTTCAAAAAGTGTATAGGAGACAAAACTGCGTAGGAAAATAAGGTAGAGGTGTATAGTGGGTTAATACTACAATAGCTGTTCGGAATGGGATAATGAAATGTGTGTATAGTTAGCTCGTGGTCGCTAATGCACATAACATGAAATCTCGCGTAGAAGCATCAGTTGGCGTAGGGCCTCGACCTCCCAAGAGCCAGAATGGAATTCTGGGGATTATTAGTAGCCAACGAAACGGGAGCAGTTTAGACTGAGTACGTACATATGACTTCCATCGTTTGAATGATTGGTGGTTTATGGGGACATCTAGGTTCCCGGGGGACACGAGGCAGAGAAGAATGGGTTGAAGAGGATTTCCTGAATTCCCGATGGTTCTTTCTCGGATTCATGGAATAAGCTGCTCGGGAAATACGAGAAGCGTTACTCCTTACCTCACCCCTGTACTATTGATCCAAGTCCTTGTTTTTCTGTCTGCTACCATCGAGAATATTAAGTACGGCGAGGGGCTCGAATTCCAGGCCATTTTAACCAATGGAGTTACGTGTGACTGCCTAATGATGGCCAATAAGCCGGAAGGGGCCATTCCAGTCTCCCTTGTCTTCGTGCGTAATACTATTCTTCACCTACTGACGCGAAGGCCAGCAACACTTTGTGACGCATTTTGATGCACAATGCAGGGTGCCTGATCAGTCACTTTAAAAACCTAACTTCCAGTCCTGCCGGCGCCCCAGACCCCCCCC